ATATCCACTCAGTCCCTTTCACCTGGACAAAAAGATAAAACCCTTTAGTACCTTTAAATTAGAAGATACCAAAGGTTCTCTGCATGTATGTATTAAACAATAGCTATGTGGTTAGTCCTGTACAAAACAGCGATGTAAGATGTGTTCCTTCCTAGAAGGGTCTTCAACATAAAATACACAAAATAGACACAGTCCTCAATAATGAGAAATGTTAGGGCTGAGGACATCTGAAAATCTGGCCCAAAATGTCCTGGCTGACCACAGAAATTCTTTAACTGCAATTTTTCTAATGTCAAGTATGTGGCAGTAAATGTCTACAAATCTGAGTTAGAACAGAGCCCTAAATGTGTAAATGAAAGTCCAAAGTGAAAGAAGCCATCTCTGAGAAGAGATTTATTATTTTATCATATTTTCACTAAATCTTAAGAGTTACCAACTCAGATGTACTCTTTTTGTAAGGTATGACAAATCAACATATTATAAATAGTATATGAGGTTAATTTATATTATGACTACAAAGCTTACCATATTTAGTTCAGTAGTTTGGCATGGATTGATGCAAATTACATAACTACAGGAAAATTCTTTTTTAAAACCTTTCATCAGTTTTAAACAAAAGCCTAGTGGTATTTTTTCTCAAGTCTATATACAATCCATGAATCTACTTTAAGCCTTCCCAATTAAGGTTACGATTTACTTACTTATAATAGCATTAAAATATTTTAGCAGACCAGACACACACAGATATTATCCTAATTAAATTTATATGCCCCATTTTTCACTTTGTTGGATTCTACCATATTTCATGCCATGAAGCGATGAGATATCAATATTGCTTAAAACTGAAAATATCTGCTCAAAATACTGTTCATTAAATTAAAAAAAAAATAAAAAACAACAACAAATGGTCCTGCAGCAACATAGAGACTAACAAAAATGTAGACAGTATCATGAGCTTTTGTGGGCACAACCTACTTCTTCACATGAATGGAGTAAGGGGTCCATAGCTATGATATGTATCTCAATATACTATGGCTTCCAGTCAATTAGCAATTGAAATATGTGCATTTAGGATTTAACTGGAGTTTTTGCAGTACAAATAAAAAGATTTTAATGCATCAATTAACTTAATTTCATTTGCTTTTAAGAATCTTTCACAGAAAGGCTTATGATCATCTTTCAAATGTGAACCAACTACTCCCTCTGCTGAAAGTAATACACCATTACACAGCAGAAAGATGTAAAAAGATCCTATGAGAGTCTTCTGGTAATATACATATATGTCCATGTAAAATAAAGCTATTAAATATATAATAGGTGTTTTCTCTCTTTAAATTACATTTGAAACTATTGAGACAAAAATGAAAGATGGGATAATATGCTGTATATTCCAAAGTCCTGACCAGTGCAGTATTTATAATGCTGAGGTGTTTCCCTCACATATTACTCATGGGAAGAGAGACGTTAAAATATGTATATTTCAATTTTATACAATATTTATATTATTTATTACTTTAAATCGCATCACATGCTTCAACAGAGTAAGAACACGCTATTTTATATTGCCTCTCTGTGTAGTCAAACAGAAGCAATTTCTGGTACTTAATGGGGAGCCTTTTGAAGGAAAGCCTTCCCTGGAAAGTGCAATATAATCTTTTAAAAACGAGAGAGGGAAAAAGCACATTTATATTCATTGGAGAACGTATCTTTAGGGAAGAAAAAAACAGAGACGGAAACTAACAGCCAGTAAATAAATCAGAGGGCACCTAGCTCTGCACATGCAGAATTAAGCTTGACAAAGTGATTTCAGTGTTCAATTAAATAGAAAATTGCTTCCACAGCTACCAACCCCGACAAACTTCATGGACACCAAAAATATGAAACTAATTTACATTCCTATTCAACATTCTGTGAATGCCAGAAATTTGCCTTGACTTCTCTAACAATACAAAGAGAAATAGAAGTGTCCCAAACCTATAGCACGCTGTGGCTGACTTGCCAGTGACAAACACTACTAGTACCTGACTCAAACAGTAGCAGTATGAAACACCTGTATGAGAAACCATCTGTTTGTTCAGCTGAGTTCTCATGATGTCATTGACAATAGCATGACTGCCAAAGTAAATAGCTGGATAGAGTTGTGGTGTCTGTGTTAGATAGGCAATCCATACCACATTTCTGATTAGCAACCAAAGATCTCAGGACTCTATCCAGCACAAACACTCCAACTCAGCCCAACTGACTATCCAGCCAGTGGCACCAGTGTCGATGACACCAAGACTCAGGCCATCAAATAACTAGCTTGTCCTAGAGCTAATTTTGTTACTTTTCTATCATTAGAATACCACTCGTGTACACTCAGGGTATGCTACAAAGGTGAAATATTAATTCTATCTTCCCTTGTAATGATAAGGAAAGCAGAAGCAAATTTCCACCATATATAGTTGTCCTTGTACAGATCTATGTCTTGGTCAATCAAGTTAAAGTTGATATGAGGATGAAAATGCTAAAAAGCTCATTGTATATTTATGCATCTTTGACTACAAACTAAGACTAAGACTAATAGGCTGGTCTTTTTGTTAAGTAGGTTATCTTTCCATGAAACCAGGAACAGCAAGCTTAAATGACTGCCATATTAAAATGTTTTCTAACAACCCTCCAAAAAGTACAACTAATTATCCACAAAGGAAAAATCTTGGAAAAGACACTACCCAAAAGCAACATGCTGTTCCAATCACACAGAACTGTATGCAATGTCTAAATTACTGTTTCCATTTCTCCATCTACTATATATTTGAGTGGGTTTGTTTGTCTGTTTGTTCAAGAACTCCTCATAAACAGTAAGAGCTAGGACCACCAAAATTCAGTATACAGCTTCCTCTTATAACAAAGCAAGGCAGGGGTTTGGTTATACAGGCAGTCCCCGAGTTACACGGATCCAACTTATGTCGGATCCGTACTTACGAACGGGGCTTTTCTCGCCCCGAAGGATGCGGGCAGCGGGACCGCGGCGCGTCTGGGTGGGCCCGCCGCCCGCGTCTCCCTGGTCTGCTGGGGGTGGGGCCCCCAGCAGCCCAGGGAGACGCGGAGCAGCTTTTCTCGCCCCGAAGGATGCGGGCAGCGGGACCGCGGCGCGTCTGGGTGGGCCCGCCGCCCGCGTCTCCCTGGTCTGCTGGGGGTGGGGCCCCCAGCAGCCCAGGGAGACGCGGAGCAGCTTTTCTCGCCCCGAAGGATGCGGGCAGCGGGACCGCGGCGCGTCTGGGTGGGCCCGCCGCCCGCGTCTCCCTGGTCTGCTGGGGGTGGGGCCCCCAGCAGCCCAGGGAGACGCGGAGCAGCTTTTCTCGCCCCGAAGGATGCGGGCAGCGGGACCGCGGCGCGTCTGGGTGGGCCCGCCGCCCGCGTCTCCCTGGTCTGCTGGGGGTGGGGCCCCCAGCAGCCCAGGGAGACGCGGAGCAGCTTTTCTCGCCCCGAAGGATGCGGGCAGCGGGACCGCGGCGCGTCTGGGTGGGCCCGCCGCCCGCGTCTCCCTGGTCTGCTGGGGGTGGGGCCCCCAGCAGCCCAGGGAGACGCGGAGCAGCTTTTCTCGCCCCGAAGGATGCGGGCAGCGGGACCGCGGCGCGTCTGGGTGGGCCCGCCGCCCGCGTCTCCCTGGTCTGCTGGGGGTGGGGCCCCCAGCAGCCCAGGGAGACGCGGAGCAGCTTTTCTCGCCCCGAAGGATGCGGGCAGCGGGACCGCGGCGCGTCTGGGTGGGCCCGCCGCCCGCGTCTCCCTGGTCTGCTGGGGGTGGGGCCCCCAGCAGCCCAGGGAGACGCGGAGCAGCTTTTCTCGCCCCGAAGGATGCGGGCAGCGGGACCGCGGCGCGTCTGGGTGGGCCCGCCGCCCGCGTCCTCCGAGGCTTTGCTCCGCGTCTCTCTGGTCTGCTAGGGGACAAGCCCAGCAGACCAGGGAGACGCGGAGCAGCTTTTCTCGCCCCGAAGGATGCGGGCAGCGGGACCGCGGCGCCGCTGGGCGGTCCCGCCGCCCATGTCCTCCGGGGCGAGAAAAGCCCCGTTCGTAAGTACGGATCCGACATAAGTTGGATCCGTGTAACTCGGGGACTGCCTGGACCAGGAAAATGGGATGAACCTGGAATGGGATTGCTTCTCATAAAACAGAAAAAGAGACAGAATCACCGCGCAGGTGAAAGGGGCTGGCTGGGGGGGTCATGTGTCCTTTTGGGGGTGAGAGAGCTGAAACTTACCCCCTTGATTCATACGGGAACATTACTGGCTGTTCCCCTTCATCACGGAGCAAGAGGAAATGCACAATTTGCTGCCTGCCTCACTCTGGCTGGGAGCACAAAAGGCAGACAAGCTGTGCATTTTGTTCTCACTCTCCGAGAGGAACAGGAAGAGTAAGAGAAGCAGCCTTGGTACGAATCTTGACAGGCGGGCTTTGGTCACCCTCACCCTCCCTACATATCTTCCCTATACACATATCTCCAGTCTTCTGGCCAGAGCCCCTCCTCACCCCTCATCCATGACTCCTGCATGCCCCAAATTCCCAGTCACCTGCCCTGACTCCCTCCTTAAGGAACAAAACAATGTCAAGTAAATACACTAGTGTAAAAATATTAGTCAGAGAGAATTGATTCCTGTTTTTAATCTAGGTGGTTAAGACTACTGCATTGGCAATTTACGTAGTTTTCTGCTCCACTATGAACTATAAAGTTAGTAGCTTTACATTTCACAAATATAGTTTTTTTTAATTTCATTTGAAAGGACAAAATTTCCAACAGTCCAAGGTCCAGTGTTGTACATAGTATATATAAATAGCATTTTTATTGTCATGGATACAGTCTCCATTTTGTAAGTGAGAAATACAAGGGACAAAATATACTTTGCTGAATTGATACTTTATCATTAACTTAAGTATAGAAATAACCCCATATATAACTGCCATATATTAAAGATTAACATGGTAACATTGGTTATTATGAAAGATTTGAAGCTCTGCCTTACCTTAATAACAAACTTGCTGGACGCCATGATTATCAGTTCAAATAAAGCCCCTAAAATATATTAAAAAAAAGTTACAAAAAAGATCTGTGCTAAAAAAAGAATAGCAAATCTTTATACAAAGTGGCACACAATTTTAAGTCTACTACTTTTTTCCCCATGTTTATCTTGCTTTACATATTGTAGACCAGGTATGTCAAACAGGCTTCTGGCGGGCCGCATGCGGCCCTATCGAAATTTTTTGAAGCCCGCCACTACATTTTTATAAATGAATAAAGTGCAGCCCGCTGGCTGCTCAGAGCACATGGCCGAATACAGATCACAGCTGGCCAACTGGCCGCTCTGTGCACGGCACCGCAGTGACTGCTCACGGCTGGCTGCGCCGCTCCATGCCCAGCACTCAGCATGTCCTCATGGCCAGCCGGGCCGCTCTATGCTGGGCGCTCCAGCACGTTCTCACGGTCAGCCAGGCCACTGTGCGCTCCAGTGATTGCTCACATCCGGCCGGGCCGCTCTGTGCTCAGTGGTCCAGCATGTGCTCACAGCCGGCCGGGCCGCTCTGAGCTGGGCACTCCAGCACGTGCTCACAGCTGGCCAGACGCTCTGCAGACATCAAGCGCCTGCTCACAGTTGGCCACTGTGCTCACACTGCCCCAGTGCCTGAAGAAGAAATGTGTGGCGATGGTGGCGGCTCCAGGACCCAGGCATTAGGTTAGGGAGAGCTGGGAGTGCCTGACTCTGGGGGAGGCATTAGGTTAGGGGGGCCCGGCTCTGGGGGAGGCATTGGGTTAGAGGGGAGGCTGTGGGGGATCAGGTTAGAATGGAGGTATGGGAGTGCCTGGCTCTGGGGGAGAACAGGGGGATATTTTGTTAACATTTTGTTTTTTATTTATTTAGTCCCCCCAAAAAATCACAAAATGTATATTAATTTTATATCAATAAATGTGTCAATTTTTTGCAGTTTCATGAATATTATATGTTTATGCAAAACCTCAAACTTACAAAATATCTAAAATTTTCACAGAAGCCTGTTCTATTTGATTAACCATGGTCTATACTTGGTTTTATTTCAACAAAACAAGTTATGTATCATATAAAAAAATTAAAAAGCACCTTAAATCTATATTTAAATTAAAAAATTAGTTTATATGGGCAAATAACAATTTAACGCATCAAATTATTGTATTATATTAAAACAAGACCTGAAAAATTATAAAATATACGTAAAACATAATTTATAATAATAAATAATTATGACTTTCCTATCAAAGTACATTCTTTGGTGGCCCTGAAAGCTATCAGTTTTTGTTTGTGTGGCCCTCAGTAGGCTTTGAGTTTGACATGCCTGTTGTAGACTCTGCTCCCACTGAAATCAAAGGGAAACCTCTTACTCAATTTTAAGAAGATCCATCACTACCTATCTTTGGTACTTTTATGGCCTTCACTACTGTACTATCTCACAACGTTTAACATATTTATCATCACAGCATCTCTGTGAGGTATGGCAATCCTATCCATCCTGACTTTACAAATGGGAAAGTGAAGCACAGACAGACCAATCTATAGTCACACAGAAAATCCTGGTGAAACAACAGGCCAAAGAAGGCAGATGTCACAAATCTTGGGCAAGTGCCACAACCACTGGACCAGATCCAGACACACTGAGCCTCCCTGCTCTTTATTCATTAGCCTGACCTATCAGCTTCTTTTCTCTATCTACACTTATTATTTTTTAGTACTCACACTCTAAAAATTACACCATCTATATTATAAAAATCAAAATGCCTACCATTCTCTACAGAAGACCCTGGTGAAGAAGTTTAGGAGGCCTTTGATGATTCACAATTTTCACTTCCTTAGTGCTCTGGTAAAAATCCCAGAAACACAGTCCTACCCAAGGACATACTATGCAAGAGAAATGCCTTTGCACAATGCTAAGAGAAGGGTAGGATAAAAAAATGTACATACCAGATGCACTAATGATTCATACGTCCCTTCATGCTTCAATCACCATTCCAGAGGACATGCGTCCATGCTGATGATGGATTCAGCTCAATAGTGATCCAAAGCAGTACGCATTAATGAATGTTCATTTTCATCATCTAAGTCAGATACCACCAGCAGAAGGTTGAGTTTCTGCACTGGAGTCTTGCTCTTTTAAGATTTCTGAAAGCATGTTCCATACCTCTTCCCTTTGAGATTTTAGAAGGCATTTCAGATTATTAAACTTTGGGTTGAGTGCTGTAGCTATTTTCATAAATCTCACATAGATGCCTTCTTTATGTTTTGTCAAATTTGCAGTAAAAGTGTTCTTAAAATGAACAACATATGCCTGGTCATTATCAGAGAATGCTGTCACATGAAATATAAAACAGACTGTAGGTAAAATAGAGCAGGAGACATACAATTCTCCCTCAAAGGCTGTGTCCAGACTCAAGGGTTTTTTCGAAAAAAGTAGCCTTTTTTCGAAAAAACTTCACTTGCATCTAGACTACAGCTGCGTTCTTTCTAAATTAAATCAAAAGAACGCGGCTTTTCTTTCGACGGCAGTAAACCTAATTTCACGAGGAAGAACGCCTTTTTTTGAAAGTGCTCTTTCAAAAAAAGGCGTTCTTGAATGCAAACACGGCGTTTTCGAAAGAGAGCATCCAGACTGCCTGGGTGCTTTCTTTCGAAAAAGCAGCTTGCTTTTTCGAAAGTACTGGTTGCAGTTTAAACGCTCTTTTTCGAAAGAGGCTTGCAGTCTAGACGTAGCCAAAGAGTTCAGTCACAAATTTATTTCACGCATTTTTAAACAAACATCATCAGCATAGAAGTATGACCTCTGCCATGATGGCTGAAACATGTAAGAGGATAAGAATGTTTACCATATCTGGTATGTAAATACCTTGCTGACTACAAAAATGCCATGCAAACACCTGTTCTCACTTCAGGTGACATAGTAAATAAGAAGCAGGCAGAATTATCTTTAGTAAATGTAAACAAACTTATTTCTCTGAACAATTAGCTGAACAAGAAGTAGGACTAAGAGGGATCTGTAGGCGTTAAACTTTTAACATTGCATTAAAAATAACCATTTTTTGTACATAATTCTACATTTGTAAGTTCAAATTTCATGACAAAGACACTACAGTGCAGTACTTGTATTAAGCGAATTGAAAATATTCTTTCTTTTGTTTTCTTAAAATGCAAATATTTGTAATAAAGTACTATACACTTTGTAATCTGTAGTGTAATTTAAGTCAATACAATTAAAATGTAGGAGGCATCCAAATATATATAAATAAATGATATTCTATTATTAAAAGTATGACTACTTACAATTAATTTTAATCACTGGTTTAATTGTGATTAATTTTTTAATTGTATGATGAATTGTGATTAATGTTTTTAATTGTTTGACAACCCTAGTTATGACACATCCCATTGCAATTATGTCCTGAGTGCCTTCAGAACTACACCATGGTATGGGAATCTGGGAAATAAATCCTAACTTTCTGAGGTTAGTTAGGACCAGAGCTTTAAAATGAGGCAGAGTTCTTTTCAGGGAAGAACTAATATCTGTTTGCTGACCAAAGCCAGGACTGGAAGCTCTAGTTGGTGAAAAAAGATGCCTTGTTTACACTGTTTTGTTTAGGTTTTAGAATGTTAAAATGGATTTACAGAATGTGTCCAAAAACACAGCTGTGTCCAAACATTTGACTGCTTTACAGGTAAAATTGTTAACAAATCTGAAACCCTCAACTAAGTTTTGCTACTTAATTTGCGAGTCCTGCTGAGGTTCTGTCCAGCGTCATGGACTCTGGCCCTGCTCACAGATCCCTATGACCTCTAGCTAGGTATATGCTACCTGAGTGATATTTATCAGTTTATTGTTGTATGCAATGTTGTTGTAGCTGTGTTGGTCACAGGATAGTAGAGAGACAAGGTATATTTAACTGCAAAACTGTGATACGCTTGCAGTCCTGAAGAAGAACTCTGTTTAAAGCTTGTCTTTCTCACCAACAGAAATTTCTCATCAACAGCAGGGACTCTCATACATTTCAAAGGGAAAGCACGCCCGTGTGGAGCCAGGAGTCAGCGGGGGACTCCCTTCTGGCCCCAGGCTCCATGTGGTATGCCAGCTTTGAAATGTACATGAGTCGCCAATGGGGGCTTGTGTATATTTCAAAGCGGAAGCGCCCGTATGGAGGCTGGGGTCAGCGGGGGACTCCCTGCTAGCCTCTGGTTCCACCCAGTGTACCAGCTTTGAAATGTACAAGAGCCACTGCTGGGGCTCTTGTACATTTCAAAGGCAGAACGCAGACGTTCTTATCGACTAATTGAATAGTCGATGGAAATCCTATCAACTATTTGATGAGTTAATTAATTGAAATTTAACACAGAGGTTATCCAACTTGCTAGAAATCATGACTGAAGATTGCTTAACCAAAATTCCCATTCAGCATAGGGGAAGATGGGATTATGGGTACACCTCCTCTTCTCTGGAGAGCATCACTAAGAGTCTTCATAACAGCTATAGTTTATTAAGCAACCCTATGGATTATTCTGTGTGACCATCCACCTGGATACACAAAGTATGCAGCTAGGACTATGTGCATGCCAAGAGGTGTGTTCAATGCTGCTCAGATATGGTGCCTTTAAGTTCCTCTACTCTCACAAGCACTGAGGCTTAAAACTTCACACAATACTGCAGCTTGGTGAACTGGGGGAGCAGCTTTGTGTCTGGCAAGTTGATGATTCAATTACTTGCTACTGTACAGCTGCCTGGGAAAGGGTGGTAAATACTACAAAATATGACAGAATCTTTCCATCAAACACTCATTGCATTACAGTCATCCCAAGAAGCAAAGAGAAGCATTCTTTTATCTGACTCCCCCAAGATGCATCTTGGTGGTGATGCTTGCACAAAACATCATGCACAAAAAGCATGCAACCACCGTTCCCCGTAAACTGTGCGTTTGTGCAGCCACTCAGAGGAGATTCAAATGCCGCTCAGTTCATTAGCAGAGTGCCCATAGCTAGGTTTTATTTCTACAGGTGGTGCACATCTGCACATGGTTTGATACACACACAAATATTCTGCACACGGCTGGAAAAGATTAGAGGGAACATCAGCTGCAGCTATCAACCGCCGCTACAAAAAGGTTGGTTGGTTTGCCTTCTGTCTGCTATCCAGAAATATTCTGTAGTCAGACATTAATCTCACAGTATTTCACACAGAACATTACCACAGAGACAAATTCCCTCATAGCAAGCCAAATACAACAGAGGACTGAAAAAAAATGCAAAAAAATCCATCATAAGATATCCAGGAAAATAATTTACAGTCATGTGAGCTGAGGTTCAAAGATGCGCTAATTTGTACAAAATCCCACTCACTTCCTGCTCAGACAGGCAGAAGAGGCTTTGAAGACAGAATAAACATAAATGAATCCTAAAAACTTAGAAAAAAATAATTAGCTAAATCAGTTAAAAATATAACCTGCTGTATGAGCAATCAGAAACAGCCACTCATCTGTCAGTGGCAGAAAAGGAATCAGCTACTGAGACATGAGAGGATGCTGAGCTTACCCAGCAGGAGTGAATTGTTCCAGCCACTGTAGGCGGAAAAGAGCCAAGAATACTTGAGACACACAGCTTTGGGAGTTCCCAGGCTAAATAAGGCACAAGAGGGTAGTACACTTTGGAATAAATAAAGTGTTTCCAGAAAAGTGTACCTGACATGCCATTGGCTGTCTGATCCATCTATGTACATTAATAAAAGTTTGTATATATTATTCAGGTGATAAAAAACCCACCTCTCTTCCCCATAAAAAAGCCCACTTTTATTTAGAGAAACTTTTTATAAAAAAGAAAAAAGATCATACGCAGTATCATTTGGGGCCTCAAAGAAATACTGTAATATAAATGATAGTTTATTTATTCATTAGTTATCCACAAACACTTCCATTTTTAAATCTGGATAAGAGGATTACTAGCCTAAACTACAGTATAACTTTGTTTTATATACAGGCAGTCCCCGGGTTACGTACAAGATAGGGACTGTAGGTTTGTTCTTAAGTTGAATCTGTATGTAAGTCGGAACTGGCGTCCAGATTCAGCCGCTGCTGAAACTGACCAGCAGCGGCTGAATCAGGACGCCTGGGGCAGAGCAGCTGGGATGCTGCTGGGTTGCTCCAGTAGCGCCGAGGAGCCGCGCTACTGGAGCAACCCAGCAGCATCCCAGCTGCTCTGCCCCAGGCGTCCTGATTCAGCCGCTGCTGAAACTGACCAGCAGCGGCTGAATCAGGACGCCTGGGGCAGAGCAGCTGGGATGCTGCTGGGTTGCTCCAGTAGCGCCGAGGAGCCGCGCTACTGGAGCAACCCAGCAGCATCCCAGCTGCTCTGCCCCAGGCGTCCTGATTCAGCCGCTGCTGAAACTGACCAGCAGCGGCTGAATCAGGACGCCTGGGGCAGAGCAGCTGGGATGCTGCTGGGTTGCTCCAGTAGCGCCGAGGAGCCGCGCTACTGGAGCAACCCAGCAGCATCCCAGCTGCTCTGCCCCAGGCGTCCTGATTCAGCCGCTGCTGAAACTGACCAGCAGCGGCTGAATCAGGACGCCTGGGGCAGAGCAGCTGGGATGCTGCTGGGTTGCTCCAGTAGCGCCGAGGAGCCGCGCTACTGGAGCAACCCAGCAGCATCCCAGCTGCTCTGCCCCAGGCGTCCTGATTCAGCCGCTGCTGAAACTGACCAGCAGCGGCTGAATCAGGACGCCTGGGGCAGAGCAGCTGGGATGCTGCTGGGTTGCTCCAGTAGCGCCGAGGAGCCGCGCTACTGGAGCAACCCAGCAGCATCCCAGCTGCTCTGCCCCAGGCGTCCTGATTCAGCCGCTGCTGAAACTGACCAGCAGCGGCTGAATCAGGACGCCTGGGGCAGAGCAGCTGGGATGCTGCTGGGTTGCTCCAGTAGCGCCGAGGAGCCGCGCTACTGGAGCAACCCAGCAGCATCCCAGCTGCTCTGCCCCAGGCGTCCTGATTCAGCCGCTGCTGAAACTGACCAGCAGCGGCTGAATCTGGACGCCAGTTCCGACTTACATACAGATTCAACTTAAGAACAAACCTACAGTCCCTATCTTGTACGTAACCCGGGGACTGCCTGTATTCCAGTTGTCAAAATTACTCTCCTTTGAAAACAGAAAGAAAAAAGCAGCAATAGATGGAAAATAATGTTCTTACCAAGTATGATTGTCAAGCCTGGGGATGGCCACTAGTTTAAGGGAAAATGACTGCTTTGTAATATATTTAAGGACCACAGTCAAAATAAGAAGGGGCTTTTGGCACAGGATCAAGAGCTTTCCTTGGAAACTGAAAGTCCCTTTCCTACCTTTTAACACTACTTTTATGGCCAGCTATGTGGAAGACTGAAATATGGAACACTCTAGATTCAACTAGGTGCCGGAACATACAATTCTTTAGGAAGAAAGTGTTATGGTGTAGCAATTCAGTGAGGGTACATCTACACAGAAGCATTATTTCAAAATAACTTAGTCTGCATCTCCACAGCCCCGTTATTTCAAAATAATGTTGAAATAGTGTCAAGCTAGAGGGCTTCTTACTCCAACTCCTGTAACCCTCATTGTACGAGAAGAAAGGGAAGTCGGAGGAAGAGTGCTCTATTTTGAAATAAGCTACACAATTGTCATAGCTCAATTTGCATAGTTTATTTCAAGGTAAGCCCTGCTGCATAGACGCACCCTGAGAGAGGTACACAAGAGCAAAGTCCACCAAGATTAACTGAAGTGTCAATCTCAACATACCCACCTGTTACACATAAGATGTCAAATGCTGCTCCAAGTGATGAATCAAGGATTCATGAAGAACATATGGAAGACAGAAACATATTTAATAAGAGCAAGTTAGCTCCACCGAACTTAAATTAAGATTTGTAATCTACCTCTTTCGAGCACCAGAATATGGTATGGAAGAGGATCATGGGGACAGATTCTCAAAGATATTTAGGTGCCTAAACAGATGAAAGTAAGCCCCAGTGCCCAGCTCTGGTAAGAGCAGGCTGTGCTCCAGCAGGAGCCAGCTGGAGCATGCTGCTCTGCAGGAGGCAGACAGGCAATTTAAAGGGGCCAGCTGGGGGTGCTCTATAGGGGAGGTGCACATACTCCCAGCCAGGGTACTTGGAGGGACTGGCAGCAGTTCCCATCTGGTCACAGTTCCTGGCACCACTCCTGCTGGAGTATGGGGTGCGGAATCAGTCCCTATCCAGCGGGGCTGTAACTGTGGCAGCACGGCCATGACCCTGATCTGCCGCAGGAGGAGCTGGCAGAGGCCCCACTCCTGCCACAGGAGTCTGGACCTGGCCTTGCTTCTGCAGAGAGGGTCTGAAATCGACCCATTTGCCCACAGTTTCAGCTGTGGCAGCCCAGCGCCATTCCCCATCTGGCCATGACCCCACTCCTGCTGTGGTGGCCCAGCCTTGGTCTCACTCCTGCAAAGGAGATTGCAAAGAAAACAGCAACACTAGGAGTAGTGAGATTTGGGGAGTGAATGAAACAGGCCTGGGCAGCACCAGCAACGAAGGCTAGTTTGGGATGTATGCAATGGTAGCAAGCAGGCGGGGGGGAGGGGGGGGAGTGAACGCAAAAAGGGCAGGGAGATCTGGGGAGAATGCAAAGGGGACTAGCAGTGGGGAAGTTGACAGGGATGAATCCTAAATGGGAACGCAAGACTAGGGGCAGTTTGGGAGAGTGAATGCAAGAAGGGTGGGGAGATTTGGAGGAAGAATGCAAAAGGGATGTAGAAATTTGGAAAAAAAGGAAAAGGGGCAGGCAGCAACATTGGACATGAGGCAGTTTGGAGTGAAGGAAAAGGAAGTATGGAAAGTTGGGATGATTGAAAAGAGGGCGGGCAGCAGAAGGAGAGCAGGGAAGTTTGGCATAGTGAATGCAAAGAGGGAAGGAAGGATAGAGTAGGTGAAAGCAAAGGGGACAGGCATAAGAACATAAGACCATTCTTGCTCATCAGTATCCTGTTTTCCAACAGTGGCCAATGCCCAGTGCTTCAGAGGGCAATTACACCCCCTTCTGTTTAGCCCAAATTTCTCACAATCTGAAACTTGGGGCACCCAAACCATGGGGTGAAAACCCTGAATATCTTGGCTTATAACAGGAGTTGGCAACCTATTTACCCTTGTTGTGTTTTGTGAGCTACATCCAATACTACCTGTGTGGCACTGAGGATTTCACATAGGCTACAACTGTGTGCTGATTGGGTTGCAAACAGTCTACGAGCCACAGGTTGAGAACCACTAGCTTACAGTCATTCAAAGACCTATCCTTCATGAATTTATCTAATTCTTTTTTGAACCCAGTTATAGTTTTGAGCTTTTCAACATTTGCTGGAAATGAGTTGCACAGGTTGACAATGCACTGTGTGAAAAAAGTACTTTATTTTATTTTAAACTTTCTGCCTATTGATTTGATTGGCTGACTCCCGGTTCTTGTGTTATGTGAAGGAGTAAGTAATTTTTGAAGTGGCCCCCAGCAAAAATTATTGCCCACCTCTGGTCTAGATGGTGCTTGGTCCTGCCAGAAGTGCAGGGAACTGGACTTGATGACTCCTCAAGGTTCCTTCCAGTTCTAGTATTCTATGATTCTATGAAACTATTCCATATCTTTAATACTTTTGGTTGCCTTTTTCTGTACCCTTTCCAATTCTAATACATCTTTTTTGAGATGGTGCAACCGGAACTGAACACAATATTCAAGCTATGAGCAGGCCATGGATTTATAAAATGGTATTATGATATTTACTGTCTTATTATCTATCCCTTTCCTAATAGTTCCTAACATTGTTAGCTTTTCCCTACTGCATATTAAGCAGATGTTTTCACAGAACTATCCACAATGTTTGCAAGGTCTCTTTCTGGAAGGCTAATCACTAATTTAAACCCCGTTATTTTGTATGGACAGTTGGGAGTGTGTGAAATTGTATCCTCATTGTCCAGTCATCCAGATTTGTGAGATCCCTTTGAAACACCTCACAATCTTCTTTGGACTTAGCTAACTTGAGTAATTTTGTATTACCAGCAAACCTTGTCACCTCAGCATTTACTCCTTTCTCCAGCTCATTGATGGCTATATTGAATAGTACTATTCCCAGTGTACATCCTTGGGGAATACCACTATTATCTCTTGAAACAAAAGACAGAACTTTGTAGCACTTTAAAGACTAACAAGATGGTTTATTAGGTGATGAACTTTCAGGAGTCTGGCCCACGAAAGCGCATCACCTAATAAACCATCTTGTTAGTCTTTAAAGTGCTACATAGTTCTGTCTTTTCTTTCAGCTAGACCAGACTAACACGGTTGCATCTCTATCACTATTACCTCTTGGCATTCTAAAAACTGACTATTCCTATCCTTTGTTTCCTGCCGTTTAAACAGCTACCAATCCATGAGAGGTCCTTCCCTCTTAGCCCAGAAGTGCTTACTTTGCTTAAAAGCATTTCCTGAGGGACCTTGTACAAGGCTTTCAGAAAATTTGAGCACACTATATCCATGGAATAAACCTAGTCCACCATTGTTGACCTTCCTCAAAGAGTTATAGGAAGGCATCACTTCCCTTTTCAAAAACCATGTTTGCTCTTCTCCAACATATCGGCTGTGTCTACACTGACAAGTTATTCCGGAAAATCAGCCACTTTTCCGGAAAAACTTGCCAGCTGTCTACACTGGCCGCTTGAATTTCCGGAAAAGCACTGACAATCTAATGTAAAATCATCAGCGCTTTTCCGGAAAAACTATGCTGCTCCCGTTTGGGCAAAAGTCTTTTTCCGGAAAACTGTTCCGGAAAAGGGCCAGTGTAGACAGCACAGTAGTGTTTTCCGAAAAAAAGCCCTGATCGCGAAAATGACAATCGGGGCTTTTTTGCGGAAAAGCGCGTCTAGATTAGCTACGGATTCTTTTCCGGAAAAAGTGCTTTTCCAGAAAAGTGTCCTGCCAATCTAGACGCGCTTTTCCGGAAATACTTTTAACGGAAACTCTTTTCCGTTAAAAGCATTTCCGGAAAATCATGCCAGTGTAGACGTAGCCATCATGTGTATCCATGGGTCTGATCATGCCAATTCAAACAGCAATGGTGGTGCAGTGGTTTGGGGGTGAATGCAAAGGGGGCAGATAACACTAGCAATGGTAGGTTTGGGAATGAATGCAAAGGGGGAGGGAAAATGGGGGTGAATCTAACGGGGACAAACAACAGTCCAATGGTAGCTTGGGGGCGAATGCAAAAGGGGCAGGGAAGTTGGGGGAGAAAACAAAGGGGATAACAGTAGCCGTTAGGTTAATGCAAATTGGCAGGAAAGCCGGGGGGTGAATGCAAAAGGTACAGCACTAGCAGGGGATAGATTTGGGGTGCATGGAAAGGGACAGAGCAGTTGGGGGTGAACGCCTGGGGGCAGCAGTGGTAGGCTTGGGGGGCGCGCAAAGGGAGCGAGGAAGTCGGGGGTGAATGCCTGGGGGCAGCGCTAG